CCTCAATTCAATCCCTAATCCTCTTCTATAAAACCCCTCCTCAGTCCTTGTTCCTACAATTCCATCTCCTCACAACCTCCGAACTCACAGTTTTATTTTTGTCTTGGTTTGTTTTCATTTTTGCACAAGCTTTTTCTTGTGTGGTGGAGGAATTATTGTTAAGCTGGTCGTCCTGGTCTGGCTGCTCTAGAAAAGGTAAATCTTTTCTTTATTCTGTTTCGACTTTAATATTTTGGGTGTTCTAATATGGAATCAAGTTCATATATTAAGTTTATGTTTGATTCTGTCTTGTAGAAAACTTCTGTTTAAACATTATTCCAATCTTCTTTGTAATTGTTGGGTCATTTTCTTTAGTCTGTGATTTTTATCATGTTTATAAGTTCATATGAATTAAACGCATCAGACTTTTTAATGTAGTATATTGTCTTCTGTATAAATGGTAAATTCAATTCTAAGCCGCGATGTAGCTTGTAATTTCTTTTATCTACGCCTTAGCATGAATTTTGTCTAAAATCATTTTTATGGCCCCTTTTAATACATAGTTTAACATTAATACTCATAGTTTAGCGTGTGTACTGCTTTCTTGTAGTTCAAAATTTGATTACGGCATTTAGTAGCGGCTCAAGCTAATTAGTGACCAAAAAATTCAAATTAAATCGAAGGTCTAAGTTTTAATTATTTTTTTATTTTTTGAGATGCAAAGTTATTTATTTCTTTTTAATAAAAAAACTTTATTCTGTCTGTGGTCTTAAACTAGATTATATATATACCAAAATATTTTTTAATATTATGGTCTTAAACATATCATGTGAAAGTTAATTTAAAAATTGATAAAAAAAAAAACATTCTTAATATTTCGAAACAAACTAAAAAATACAAATAAATTAAAAGACATTGTATTTGTCACACCCCGAGCCTACACAATGGGGGAGACTGGCACTCGAAAACCATTACTGGCCCCAAGCGAACCCTTGGTTTGGCCTACTACTCAGGGGAAGACTTTACTCAACATTTAAAACAACTCAAGAGGTAGATTCATAACCCAAACTTAGAACGCATAAAGGAAAACATTCGGCTGGCCATAAAGGCAACTCAAGTCTTATAATAAAAACAACTGAATGAATAAGATTAATGAACTAATAACGCCTAACTGTCTATGAAACCTCTAATAACTATGAGGGGTGTTGGGATAAGAACCCCGATCATCCTAACAACTGACTAACAAAGCAATAAAAGGGAATCCTCTGAAAAGCAAGAAGGCTCACCAACTGACTCTGAGATGCTCAACTGGATCAACGAGGTGCTGGATGCTGATCCTGATTACATGTATCTGCATCATAAAACGATGCAGATCAAATGACATCAGTACATTGAATGTACGAGCATGCGAGGGAAAAACTAAACATGACATAAGCTTGAAATGAATTATGAAAGAAACACTTACTTTAGCTTTACTCAACTCATGGATACTCAACTTAATGTAGAAATAAACAACAGTAAAGATGTAGTTTATATAAAGCATTTAAACAATAAGTAGCAATTCAATGTATTGGAGAAATACAATAGCATCTCAATTTATATATATAATAAAGTAATATAATTTTGTGGGAGTTTCTCTAACCGACAACCATCACTACGAGCTATGTGATGATACAACGTTTCACCCACGCTACCAAAACTATCCTATAACTTGTCGGGATATAGAACGTCTCAACTAAGTGGATCCACTAGTCTATGCTAAAAAACATTAAGGAATCATCTAAAAAGTATGACCCTTTTTACCCACGTTGGCTACATGGCTTATAGAGACTTGAGTTATTATGAACTCGTCCCCATATCGGTGCTCAATAGTACTCCCAAAATACTCAGCGCATATGTTTAAAAACATAACTCCTTCTCTGTGGTTTGAGATTATTACTCAGAAACTTATCTCTTAAAAGAGATGGAACTCAAAACTACTTATGAAAACTCATTTTAAAATCGGTGTTTCCTGTCATCTTAAATCTGAAAACATTTAGTCTTTGGGAATACATAGTCCCCATATAACATTTTAAAGAAATGCACTCAGCTCTACTCTTCCTCAATCTCAATGCTTAAGTCTTAAAACAAGTTTAAAAGATTTGTAAAAGACTTCTTAAAATGACTCGAGAAACCCTCAAGACTTGACTCTCAACTCTACCTTGAATTTGATTTATGAATTCAAGGTTGTGATTTTTGATAGGAAAGATCTCATGATGTTTAAGAGTGTTTTTAGATAGTTAAACATGAGAAACGATCAAGAAATCATAGTCTGGAAGCAAGTCCGCAATGCGGAGATGCATTTTATTATTTGGTCGCGAAATAAATTTTGAGGCAGAAGGGTCCGCGACGCGGAGAGAAAAAGTTCTGATCCTGAGGAACAGGTCCGTGACCTATCCACGTCGCGGACCTGGTACCTAAATTTGCCGGAAATTTTCCTTATTCGTTTTCTAACCCCAGTTCACCTTAATTTGATTCTTCTTCTCAATTCCTCTTTAGTTTCAGATACAAGTATATGTACACAAGAATCTATTCATAAATGACTCTAAAATCTACACGATTTTCTCAAGAACTCAACAATCCCAACTTAACTCAAGAACGAAAGCCAATATTCAAGAACACAATTCAAAATCATCAACTTTCAACTTTCTAGAACGAATTTCGCTGAAATAAACATGATTGGTGCGTGGGTGAACGAACTCGACGCTATGAAAGTCTCACATACCTCTTTAGGGATCAACCCTTGGCGAAACGACTTCGATTCCGCAAGAAATCTCCAAGAATGCCTTGACTTTTCTCCTATTTTCTCTTCTCTCAAAGCCCTAGTGTAATTCTTAATTGCGTAAACTGAACGAACTCAGTTTAGACCCCAAATAAATTCCTTAAAACAGAATAAATTAATTGGGTAATGAAAAGACCAAAATACCCCTCTAAAATTTGGCTGACTTTCCTTATCCAGACAGTCCGACTTCAAACGGGCATATCTCCCTCATACGAACTCGAAAATTAGCAAACTCGGTGGTGTTGGAAAGATAATTCAAAGGTCTTTCATTTGATATCTTGTAGCTTACCTAACTCATCATGTACCAGGATTTATGGTCGTTTGAATTTGACCCAAAACTCATACTTAACATACTTGCCAAATTTCAGATTTTTATTCTTTCCAAAAATGGTTCTTTCTAATTCTAGCTCTTTCGAATAGCGGAGTGTTACAATATTATTATTTTTGGTTAAAAAACAGCTTATAATAATTTTATTATTATTAAAAAATTAGGCCCTTCAAATTTAGGGACCTAAGACGGATGCCTCATTTTTAAGCATTGAGCCGCCCTATAGCATTAAATTTTAACAGTCATATGCACTTAGAATTTGTTCACACTATTGTTTGTATGTATGAAGATACTCACTTTAAGTGTGCATTATGTTAGTTACTTATTTATTTGAATAGTCATTTTCATGTCCATTTGATTTGTTCCTCATACTTTGGTTGTTAATAATGCATGACCTTTTACATTTTTGGAATAAATATGCCTTTGTCTTTTGTTAGGAGCCAACTCGAAGTTTGAAATATCCAATCCAATATATGCATCAAGTTATATTTTCATGTAACTTTATTTCTAAAAGCGTTCAAAGGAGTATATTAATTATTTTCCCTTACTTTCTTTACATGTGATATTGGCGGAGTCCATTTTCATCGCCTCCTTGCATTTTTCAAGTTGTCGAGTCAACCACGATTTCATTCAGATGGAAAAGGAAGTTTATATACTGGTCTCAGAGGTGATCTATGAGTCAGAATACATACAATATGCAGGATATACACTTGATATACATTAGATACGTATATGATACACAACAGAAATTAGCTGAAGGCCCAAAGTGCAGCCGCAGTTCTTCAGAGAGTTGAATTTTGGTTGGAGCCCAAGTCATTTTCAGCAACCAGACTTTGACCAAGTCCATTAATTTTTAGTTATTTGTATTTATTTGTTTATTTATTTTATATTTTTGGTATAATTTATTTGTTTGTTTTTATTTTTGAATGTATTAGCTCTAACCTTAAAATTTTAAATTAACTTAATTAAATCCCTTTGAGATAAATCACATTTTGTTATGATAATTTACTATTTTAAATAATTTTATTTGATAGTCTTTCTTTACTTGGCCATTTTTCGATTAAGTTGTACTTTCTTTCTAAAATATTTCAAATGTTCAAATTAATTCTCTTTTAAATTGCTTTAAATGCCTTTTTTAAAAATAATTTTCGCCAAAAAGTTAAGTAATTAAAATTTTAAATTGTTGGATAATTGTATGTTAGTGGTCCTTTGAGTTTTAATATCTTCTCAAAGTGGAAATTGAAATCTCTTACTTTTTTCTCTAAATTTTTAACACTTAAATTTGATAGAGTTTTTTGAATTAATAAATTTAATTTTGTTTAAACAATTAAGTGATGACTTTTTAAATATGATTTTCCCCGTAAAAAGTTGAAATTTTTAAACATCTCTTTTCGACACATAACACTGACGGCGCAAAGCACGATTTTTTTTATAACTAATATAAAAATAAATACTACAATACAGAAATTTGGGAGTTATTTGATATTTTTTATGTGTTCTTGGTATTCTTGAGAAACGAGAAGTAAAAACAGTATATTCGATCTAAAACTCCAAGTGAAAAGTGTTAAAAGTTGTTTGGGTTGTAAAAATTGGTTTTGCAAAATCAGAGTAGAAAAAAATGGCTAAGATGAGCCTTTTCAAAAACGGCAATGAGATAAATGAACAAAAAATTTAAATAAATAATGTAAAAGAGGCTTTTCTAAAAAGTTAAATGTAATATTTGAGCTTTTTCCATAAATAAAATAATAAATATATTTTATGGTATAGTGTTTTTGCTAAAGTCCAAAAATCACATGGAGACAAAATGGATGAAGCCTAAAGGAGGTGAATGGTGATAGAGATAAGATTAAGGTGATGAAGCTTTTCATTTGTATCTAACTTCTAAAGAGAGAAATTTAAAGTTCATTTGTCTAAGTTTTTTTCTTAATTTGTTGTTATGGCAGATAGTAAAGAAGCAGCACAAGTTATATCAATTACCATATACCCACTCAAATCATGCCGTGGTATTTCAGTTCCTGAAGCAGCCCTTTCTTCTACTGGTATACTTCAATTTCCATTCACTTTTTATGGGAGTCTCCTGGTGTTACAGTAATCAAAGCTTTACCTTAATAAAAACCCCATTTTGAATCTTGATCTTTTGCAACACACAGTGTATTACCGTTTCTTGATTAATACTCTCTCTGTCCGTCCACTTTTAAATTGACATACCTATTAAAAAAATAGTTAATGACATAATAATTTTATCGTTTTACCCCTATTAATTATGAAGTGTGAATTAAAAACTTAAAATTGTCAAAAAATTTAAACTTTTTCAAAGTAATTAATTGAGGATATAATAGATAAAAAAAATAATTTTTCTTGATTTATCAAAATAGACAAGTAATTAAAAAAAAAAAAAAAAAAAAGTAATTAGGAACGAGGGAGTGCTTCCTCAGTTTTATATTAGATGAAGTTGTTAGACCTTTGGGATACGATGCTGCTGAATTATTATTCCTTCCTGGGGTGTTTTTACCTTTTTCACATTGGTCCAAAAAAGTGATCAAGAAAGTATTAATTGTCTTTGTTATCAATTTATCTTGTTTAGATAAGTGGGGTTTTACATGATCAAACAACTATATTATACTATATCTTTTATACATTTTTAATTGTCATGATTTCTTTTTTGTAGAGTCAAACTATAAGATTAGGATATATTTTTTTATATATATAAAAATTTGCAATTTATAGTACTGTTTGTATAGTTTTTAAATATCTAAATTTTTTGTTTAAAATATTGAACTAATATAATCTAATTTAACTTTGAAATTAGTTAAATTGACTTTCAAAAAGCATAACATGACAAATAAAAATGGACGGAGATAGTAGTATTTAAGGGTAAATTAGTAAAACACTTGTTACTTTACATTTCTTAAGGTGTTCGCCAAATCTAAAAGCACCATTTAATATGGACAGGAGGGAGTAGAAGAGTAATCTGCTTTTCTATCTACTTGGTCAACTGAATTTGAAAGCTGATTCCTAACCAATTGACTGCTTTGTGTTGGAATTAGCCCTCTGATTTTACCTTTTACAATAATAAATTTGGTGATAGGATGATTTTTGATAGCATTAACACTCAATCCAACTTGAACCCTCGGCAAAGATGATGACTTACTGTCTATGTTGATCAGAATCTCTAAAAATGTTGTTGTTGTCATGTCGAATCCTCCAAAAATACATTACTTTTGAAGGATTTGACATGCACTTACATCCATTGATATCATTGAAGAGTCCGCGCAACATCACTTACTATTTTAAATAATAACGTTTTGTCGTAAAAAAGAAGAAGAAGCAATATCGCTTACTATTATTTAACTTCAATTTTTTCTTTTTCAGTCAGAATCATCCCAAATTAGTATATAACCCTTTTGACCTGCTCAAAGTATAATAGGTTAGCTAGGTAATTGATGATTATGGGAGTGTCATAATTGGGTGAATCCAAAAGGATTCATCAAAGTTTTGTGCTTAAATGGGCTAAAAGAGTGAACCAAACAAGTTAATTGTCAAATGAAGTGGCTGATTCCTTTAGAGATCAAAGAATAGCAGATGTTTCTATACAGTTATGTCAGGTTAGGCCACACCGCTAAGTTGCAACAAACTTTCCATATGTAACGGCAAGGATTGGCAATGGCATATGATTATTTTCCTAAGTTGCATGTTTAGGGTGGATTGTGGTACATGATGCCTGGCTTACACTTAATAATTTGATGAAAAGTGGGTTCACATCTTTAGTCCATCGCGAATGTGGCATAAGGCCCACGAACGCGATGGCTAGACACCCAGGCCTCCGCGAACGCGGCACTGGCCTCGCGAACACGGAGACAAGGACCACTAGTCACCACAATGTGGCATGAAGCCCGCGAATGTGAAGGGGAAAAGTGGTCGCACCAGCTGATGCATAAGTCGCCTTTCTGAACTTTTGACCGAAGTCAACCGTTCAAGTTTCAAAAGTTTCAAAACACGGAAACTTGCACAAAAACCAAAAGAACGACCAGATGATCGAACTGTTAATTCCAGCAAGTTATAAATGACTTGAGATCGTTATAGAAACACTCTAAATGATGAAAAGAAGGCAATAAGATGGAAATGACCTGGACGGTCATTACAGAAGTCAAACCCCATTTGACAAATAATTTGATAAGTAAGGGGAAACCGTAAACTTTTGACCAAAAGAAGCGAGCGTGAACCACTTGGAGGTCTCTATCGGAGGATTCCTCAATTTTATGTAAATCTTGATCATTTCCACTTAAGCATATCAAGGTTTGAATTCTCAATTCAGCCAACCTGTCTCATAATTTTGTTTGACTCACCAATGCCTAGTAATCTTCAAACTGATTGACCATTTAGTTAAAATATTGTCCTGGCCTGTAGTCAACAATAGAAGAAAAATAAAAGTATTACCATGTAGAGACTGCATCATTTTGTATTATTACATTCTCCATTAGCATGTAGGCGTATGATGCAAAATCATTGATGATTTAGACTGCTATGTATTTGAGTAACTTCATATGGTTGGTAGCATGTCTGTATTATAACAAATTTTGCAAAAAATGAACATCTCAGTGAGATATTATAACCCAATGCTTCAAATAAATAGTACACAAAAATTTCATACTAATTTCTTGAGCTCAACAATCAATTCTTACGCTTCGTTTTTCTCAGGATTTCGATGGGATCGGCAGTGGATCGTTGTGAACTCCAAAGGTAGAGCATGTACTCAAAGAGTAGAGCCATCGCTTGCTCTGGTTGAGGTTGAACTGCCAAATGAGGCATTATCAGAGGGCTGGGAACCAAATCCAAGCTCATTTTTAGGTTAGTGAGAATATGTTTTATGATTCTTGGTTTCTATTACTTTGCATTTCTTGATACTTAACAGAAAAGAAAAAAGGAAACAACATATCTTTCGAGGCATTCTGTAAACTCCAAGACTAAGGTAATTATAATCGCAAAAAATGTAAAACTTTTGTTGGTGTTTTTTTATAATGCCGTAGCAAAAAGGGTTGACAGTATTGAATGAAAAATGTCGAGAAAATGATCAAAATGATCCTTAATGTATGGGAGTTGAAGTGTTTTGGTCCTTTATATATACCGCTTAATAGATATAGTCCTTAATGTATGTAAAATATGATATTTTGGTCATAAACCTAAAATTTAATAATTATTCGTTAACTTTAACGGGAAAAACTAAAAAAAGCATCCTCCACCTCTCTCGTCCTTTCTTCCTCGGCGTTGCTGCTTCTGCGATTGAATTTCAATGTTCTTTTTTTCCAAATTGTTTCACAATTGGTTCCAAACAAAAATTAATTTTCTTTTATTTATAAGCAGCATATATTTTAAATTGATTATGAAAATTCATAAAGTAGTATTGAGTGTCGTGTTTGTTTATCAGGTCTGCCCAATTTCTCCTAAAAATTTATCAAATTTCACCCCATGGATCGATTTCTGATTCTAAATCGTGATCTTAAACTTGATTCTTGTTGTAAGTTGGTCAAATTATTTTTTTCTCTTTAATCCCCTTCATGATCAATCTCTAGTTTTCTCTGGGAGTGCGTGGGTGTTTCTTAAATTTTTGAATTGTTTTGTTGAAATCCATGTCGTGGTAGAAGCAGTAGCATAAAAACCTTTCGATTTCTGCTAATTCTCTTCTCGTTGTACCATGTACATGACGATAGCAAATGCACCATCGCCGAGAGTTAGTTGAGTTATGGAAATCCCTTGAGAGAAGGAACAGGGAGGAAGAAAGGAGGAGAGAGTAGAGGTTTTGAGTTTTTCTGTTAAACTTTAACGGATATTGTTAAGTTTTAGGGTTAGGACCAAAATGATCACATTTTATATAAATTAAGGACTATATCTATTAAGTGGTATATATAAAGGACCAAAACACTTTAACCCCTATACATTAAGGATCATTTTGATCATTTTCTCAAAAATGTCTTTCAATATTTTTCTGAAGCATACAGGACTTTAAATAGCCACTTACAAAAAAAAATTGCATGATTCAAAATTTAATAACAAAAATATCTCAACAAACTAAAACAACCTAATAGGAATTTAAAATTCATATTCATCCTAAGGCGAAGTAACTTATTATGCTAAATATTAATGCAGTAACTAAAAGCAAACACAAAATTGCATTTCCTAAGCTTCATCATATCTTTTAAGGGCCTCAAATTGAGGCATTACGTAAACTCCAAAATAAGGCAATTATGATCACAAAAGAAGCGATCTCACTAGTATCGACTTCACCTTTTCTGATAGTGATAAGAGCTCCTGGTATGGATGTGCTTAAAGTCCCACTGGCTGAACCATCTGAAGTAGCAAACGGTGTCTCCGTGTGGGAATGGTCTGGCTCTGCTTTGGATGAAGGAGATGAAGCATCAAAGTGGTTCTCCAAATATCTAGGGAAACCTAGTCGTCTCGTAGTTTCAATGAAGGTATGCTCCTATGTCCCCTTTGTAACCCACCAAAAAATCATCTGATAATTTGTATCTTTATTATATTGCATTTAACCTTGAAATGCTTTAGAATTACTTGACGTTAGAACCTTCAACCCAGACACATAAGGGCTTGGAGAGTGCGGTTGAACGAATTCTAACACTGTTCTTTTGGCATGCGCGTTAATGACTTGTATTATCTCTATCTGTGTATTTTCACTTTCTAGATGCTTGTGGCACTGTAACCAGAGAGTTAACGGTGACTAAATGAGTTATCAAATCTGCATATAAGAGTTTAGGGTTTGATGTCTTGGGAAGCCTGTATTTAGTCTAGAAATAGAACTATCTCAGAAATACTAATGATCTCTAGACGACTCTACTGTCATCGACTCCGTAGTCTAGTCACATCTTATTTAAAGTTTGTTCTCGAACATTCAATCATATACTCTCTGTGTCACATTTTATGTGCCACTCTATTCATGTTACTCTGTCCACAAAAGAATGACACGTTCTATACTTGAAAGTAGTATAACTTTAAACTTCCCAATTTACTCTTTAATGACATGCTTTTTAGGCTCTAAAATCTCATAGCATATTTAAGGCCACCAGAGCCAGAATTTTTAATTTATAGATTTTGTACATATTAAATGAATTTTCTAACATATTGACAGGGTTTGAGCTAAAGCTACTAAGTTCTGTCAAATCCGTTGCCACTATTGCGAGTCCTCCCCTAAGACCACAAGTACCAAAAGTTTTTGTTTCTTTGTTATACTCTGTACTCAATCAAACTATGCCATATAAATTGAAATGGAGAAAGTAGTTAAAGATGTGTGCATCCGGAAAATAAGGGATGTGCTCAGCCGTAGTCATTTCACTAATTTTTTTGCTCATGCAGTATCACAGTCTAGACCTACCGACCCTAACTATGCTCCTGGGTACAAAATAAAATTTAATGATGCATATCCCTTCCTCCTTATATCCCAGGTTAGCATTTAATTATCCTAAAGATGAAATTTTATCTCTCATTAATTTAAAAAAAAATAAAAAATCTAAAGTTGTTTCCTTTTTCTTGGCAGAAATCACTGGATGTATTAAACGAGCAACTCAAGGAGCCTGTGTCAATCAACCGCTTCAGACCAAAGTATCTTCTATTTCTTATTCAATCATTTAGAGAGAGAAATGAATCTATATATAGTGATTATATATACTAAAGGAACTTCCTTAGAGTTGATGTAGCAGCGTTCATCAAGAACTTAATAATTGCTTCAACATGACCCCTCTACATGGTGTACTTGTTAAGATGATGGCGTTGGCTTCTTTGGGCCAAATACTCCTCTGATTATATGAATCTTTATATTGAACCTGTGTCTTTTGCTGAAAATCCCATAATTGATCATTATTGTTTTCTTGGTTGTTAACATAAATAATATTTATTCTGTTCTTGCATCAATCGTAACCTTCAACTGTTGGAAACATGCATACAGTATCCTCATTGACGGATCTAATCCATTTTGTGAAGATTTATGGAAGGATGTCAAAATAGGTGAAAATACATTCCATAGCACAGAGTTATGCTATCGCTGCAAGGTAAAGGTTATCCTTTCTCTAAATCTCGATGATAACCATTATTTAGGGGATTTTTAATTGTTGAAGATTCAAGGAATGCGATAATATATTTAGTATACGTGTGAATAAGATACCCCATAACCCCATAATATATTTCATCTTCTTTTTAAGAAATTGAAGTGTCCACCTTTTCAGATTTGCATACGCATTAAGAAGTTGTTGTCGAATGAGAGTAGTGTTTTGCAAAAGTTACATAGAAATTTGATCAATCTATGTCTTCCTTAAGATGGCTAGTAGATGATCATTGTGCGTTAACTTGCATAGTAATTGAAGAGAAAATATACAAATTCAAACCAATGAATGGTGAGCCTATTCAATCAAGATTATTATCAGTAGAAGGTACATCATGCTGAAATATTGCTATCAAATGAATTTCAAAAGTAATATTCGAACAATTTTAATAATGTATTTTTTTAATATATCAAGTATTTCAAAATATTTCATTTTCTAAAATTTTTGCCTTCTTTCTAAGAAACTGTAGCCTCCACCTTATTACACTACTAAAAAATTGTCAAAAAACGACGGCCAAAAGCGACGGACTGCGTCGCTTTTTTGGTCAAAATCGACGGAAAAGCGACGTAATCACTTCCGTCGCTTTTTAGCTCGACGCATTTCAAAAAGCGACGGACAACGTCGTTTTTAAAAAGTGACGGATTACGTCGCTAAAAAAGCGACGGACTGCGTCGCTTTTAGAGACGGACTGCGTCTCTTTTAGCGATGGACTGAGTCGTTTTTTTACTTTCTTTTTTTTTGAATTTTTTTAAAAAAAGCGACGGACTGCGACGCTTTATTTTAATTTTTATTTTTATAATTTCTAAAGGGCGACACTGTCTGTCGCTTTTCTGGAAATTTTATTTTTAAAAACCCAAAAAAGCGACGGACAAAACCACGCTGTCCGTCGCTTTTTCTGCAATATTTTTGACAGTAGCAGCTCGCAGCTTCTGCTGCCCACCTACAAATGCAATTCAATTCAATTCTACACTATTCAGCCCAATCAAACACACACAATTATAAACAATCTAAACAAAACATAAAACAACAAACTTAAAATAACATTCAAAAGTATCTAAATCATAAATTAAAGACTTATAAAGTCTTTAAAATTCTTTTTAAAATTTCAAAAAGTTCATAAATATCCAGAGATCTAAACTAGGGAGTGAGATCTACATAATCATCCTCATCACTCTCGTCGTCGGTGCCATCGGGAGCCAAAGTAGTAGGTCGACGAGTGAGTTTCATCACTTGTTCTTTGATTTGCTGAACGGTCTCACTCATGCTTTGTTGTTCAGCTACTTTTTTCCGCTCCAACTTTGCTAGTGCCGCTGTAAGTTTAGTTATTTGATCCGACATAGCAGCAATTTGAACATCGTCAAGTGCCTCAGCGTGACGTGACGATCCAATACCTTCTAAGCCTGACTGAAGGCATCTAACATCGTTGCGAGAGCCTAGACCATAGCATCTACCCTTGTGTGTCCCCCCTACCACTTTTTCTTTCCAAATCTGAGTGGACAGTTCAGGTGTCAATTGAACCGAACTATCTAGATTCTCAGCGACGTACTTATGAAAGTCATTCTGCATATTAAATATAAATATTGACATCAATATATATACATATCATAAATATATTCACTATTGATATATATTATTCATATTAAATAACTTACAAAAGTTCGTTCGGCCCTTTCTTCCACCCACACATCCGGATCCGACTCATTTTCTTTCTTCCTGACATGAGTCTTTTTGAAAACCTCTGGTTCAATGGGAGTGCATCCCAATTCTTTTTCCTATAAATAAAAACTGAAATTTATAACGATATATATGTATCAACTAATTATTTATTTAAAAGTTTGAATTAGAACTTACCATCTCTCGTGCAATTGTTCCAACCGTCTTTGCACCTCCGGTGTGCAACGAGCCACCTTTAAGACTGCCTCTAGCCATTTTGGCTTGATCTGATATTGCCTTAAACTTGTCTGTGTTCCAATACTGACCCAATTCATCAAAAACATGAGGCAACATCCAACCGGGACGTTCACCACTATCCCGAACGCTCTTTAGCCAGCTAGACAGTCTGGTGGATGCCTTCCTCTCAAATGTGGTCCCAATGACCAAATTGTACCTCGACTCCCAAGTACACATAGTCTGAAAAAAATTGAATAACGTTAATTAAATCGATAGTAAAAAAAAGTAAAGTATACTAAACTTAACTAAAAAATATATACCTTAAAGTTATTAAACATCGCCTGGCATATACTATTTGGAATCTCGCTCCAAGAGTGATAAGCTTGTGTATAGAGTCTTCTAACACACTCTTTTAAAGCCCGGGCAGCATCCTTTCCAAGATTCCACCTGCAAAACACATAATAAATATGTTAGTTCATGAATAATATATTAAAGTATAAGAAATAAATAAAATAAACTAACAAATAGATAACAAAACAAACTTACGATGATCCATCCGGCTCAATCATGACTCTACCAAGTTTGTCCTTCTGGCCAGGAGCTAGAGCAGACATCGTATCATGTGGTGTAGCACTAGGTGCAGCTGTAGACGAGGGTGATACATCAGGATGCACAAAACGCTGAGTCAATGGAGGCATACCGGCCATAGCATCTGACTGCTCGCTACTAGAATCTCCAAGCCTCATGGCAGATAACTGAGGAGATGTACCTGTGGGAGATGGAGTACCTGCCGATAAGGGTCGTGCTCGACGAATAGCCTGTAAAGGTAGGTCCTCATAGCGTCGTGAAGGCAATGCCTGTGAAGTAGATGAAGCACCGACTGGTCGACGATAATTAGAATAATATTGTTGAGGATCCGCCGTACCAAACGGAACAGCAAATAAATGAGTATCATGGCTGATGCGCTCTGGCGCAGAAGAAATAGATCCTGCAATATCCTCAGGATCTATCGGTCTCCTAGACTACTTCTTCTTAGCCTGTTTAGTCTGGCTAACTGCAAGATGCTCGCGATGTCTATCACCGTCACTGTCTGATGACATCTGTATGCAAATTTACATGTATAATATATATCAAAATCATAAATTAAATAAAATTAGTAAAATACACTTACATATGTACTAGCTAGCTTTCATTCTACACTATTCCTCCTCGATTGTTTCAATTCCATCATTCTCCCATTCTTCCTCCTCAGTTGTTTCATTTTCATTATTGTCCCATTCTTCGTCATCAAATGATTCATTTTCCTCATTCTCGGATATTTCTTCCTCAACATTCAATATCTTATCATCAGATACTTCTTCTAATATGTGTTGAGGATGTTGTAGTGTGGTTTCCAATTCAACATCAACTTGTTGTTGAACAATTGCAACATCATTTTGATACACCACATCTAAGACATTGTCAATTTCAATTCTTCCCACAGGCTTACTTTTTATAACAACCCACCAATCAGCTTTGTCTCTACGCAATGGATATGAAGTGTAATACACTTGTTTAGCATGTTGTGCAATAATAAAAGGATCATAACTTCTGTATTTCCAAGTGTGCTTAACTTCAATTATATTATGTTGATGGTCCACCTTTGTGCCTCTATGTGATGGGTCAAACCACTCACACCGAAACAATACAATCTTCTTATTAGGCCAACCTGAATACCTCACTTCAATAATCTCTTGAATGACACCATAATATTCAATAGTTTGACCAGTACCATCAACATCACCTTGTATATAGACACCGCTATTATTTGTTTTCTTGTTCCTAGATACTTCTTCAGTTTGAAACTTAAAACCATTGACACAATACATATTTATTGCCAGTACTTGAGATTCAGGTCCAAGGGCTACTTCTTTCACTAATTGCAAATGTTGGACACTTGGGTATTCATCGTAAACATACACGATTGTTATTTCAAGTAATATAATTTAGTATAACATGAATATATTATTAAATACTTAGTGATTGCACACTTACATAGTTCCTCAGCCATTTGGAAAATTCTGTATAGATGGCTTCATTACCCCATGTGTTTACGAACAAGCTGATCATTTTACATTCAAGTATTTCGTTAGTTAATGATCACTTATTAGTATGTAATTTAATAACATATTTTTAACACTTACTTGACATATGATTGAATCTCTGGACAATTAAACAAAATATGTGTCACAGCTGATTGCATTTCCATATCAGTGAAGCTTCGCTTTCTACGCTTTTTAGATCCTCGACCATTTTGATTAAAAATTGATATCGGTGGAAATAATGGATCGATATCGCCTTCATCATTGTGATTGGGCCTGTTTCTCCTACATGACACATCATGACCAAAGTAATAAGAATAAAAATCACCTGTTTCTCTCCCAATATGACCTTGAATAAATGATCCTTCAATCCTTCCCCTTTGCTTAATCGTTTGCTTCGAACTACCAATTTTTCTGCATGCATATATGTATATATATGTTAATATATAAAAGGCTTGGCGAATATATATAACTTAGTGAATATTTCAAATGATACCTCTCAAATGGATACATCCATCTTGTTTGAACCGAACCTTCGAGGCGGGCCTCTAGTACAAGGTGAATTGGAAGATGCTCCATCACATCAAAAAAACCACATGGAAATATCTTCTCCAACTTAGTAGTAGTGACAAGAATATTTTCCTCCATCCTATCTAAACTACTCTCCAACAACTTTTCAGAACACAAATCTTTAAAAAAAAGACTTATCTCTGTGATTGGTTTCCATATCCTTTCGGGTAGATAGCTAAAAGCGATAGGAATTAAAGTTTCCATGAACACATGACAATCATGACTTTTCACACCTATCAATTTTCCTTCATTCATATCTGCCCGCTTTCCTAAATTCGAAGCATAGCCCTCTGGCATCCTCAAATTTTTAACCCACTCAATAATTTCACGTTTCTCATCCAATGTGAATGAAAAGCTGGCTTTGGGCTTAACTATTTTACCATTCTGTAATTCCTGCAGCCATAACTCTTTTCTCCTACAATATTCCTTTATGTCCATTCTAGCTTTTGGATTGTCTTTTGTCATACCCTT